GAAAAGTTCGGCGGTGCTCTTTGCGAAAGAGACTGTTGCTCTTGCGAATTATTCGGCGCGCCCGCGTTACCGATATCGTCATATGGAATTTCCATGTCATGTGCTTATACGTCAACGATTTCTCCTCCTCGTTCTCGCAGTATTACGATTGATATCAGTTTATTTGGCAATGAGCCGAAGAGCTATGAGCTACAGCATGATAGTTTGTAGGCGTCAGAAAACGTCGTTCAGCAGCGATTCAACTTGATTGCTTAAAGCGAGGAATGAGTACAAGACAAATACGCGTATACGCGATATTTAAAATACGCCTTTTCGACTTTCGACTTTCCTTTCCTGTCTTTAATCACATGTGTATTCATGCCATGTACTTGTGGTGTTCAAATAATCTTTTTTTTCTCGATGAATCTCTGTGATTCGTTATAATTTGTATCCTCGTATATTTTTTAATATATGTATAAAGTGCATATTTTTAATTAAAAGATCCAATCTTTGCAATATTTGCAGTTTAAAATAATGCGCAAATTGAGATTTACGATAAATTTGTTTATTTTTGATGTAAAAATTACAAGGAACAACCATTATATTTCGTGATGTGTTACAGACATCGGTTTTTAAAGAAATATATTTCTATCGTTATAATATAATTTATGCAAAGGTACATTTAGGAAATACATTTCCAAAATTACAAATTTTCATATTTTTCAGTAAGCTACTTTACACAACAATGCATTTTACAAAACCTTAAAATTTTAGCAAATTATTATTGAAATTTTAAGTTTTCGAAAGTATAATTTTAGAAACTGAAGAATATATCATTGATAAAGCGTGCCACTCATCTAATCTAAACTGATCATTGATAAAATTTATTTTATACAGAGATTCTAATCTATGTCAAGCATTATTACTTCTAGTTATACTTTGACTTTTGATTCATATGGTAAGAATTCATTTTGAATGAAATGTACATTTAAAAGTGAAATTAAATAATACTAAAAACATTTTATCTTTTATAAAAGAAAATATTTAAATTTCAAAGATTATCATATCGTAAGAATCAATTAAAATGAACTTTAACAAATTATAAAATTATAAAAAATGCAAAAACATTCAAAAATTTCGAAAAAAATATAAAAAAATCTTAAAAAGAAATGAAATGCAAAGCTCTATCATATCTATCATATCTTTCTTGTGATGCATTCATAACATATTTTATAAAATTATTTTATCAATGTTCTAACTGTGGAGGCAACAATACTAATCATTGTGGATTTTTATTTTTATTCATTGTTCTGAATTTAAAGAATTCAATAACAAATTCTTATTTTCATACAATGAATCAAAATTTCATTTTCTCATATATTTTTATCTTTTTGCTTGCCATATTCGATTCATCGTTTTTATTTTTGAAAATTTGATAACAAATTCTTATTCAATATTCTTGAAAATTATAGAATACATCACATAATTTTATCTTGTTACGTATTTCCATCTTTTTGTTCGCCATATTGTATTCGCTATTTTGAATGTTGAAATTTTATATAAGAAATTTTTATTTTGTCAATTATCATACGCACTATTATTTTGCAAATTTGTAAAACAATTTATCCTGCTTATTTTTTGTCCACTTTGATAAATAAACTTCCATACTGAAAAAGCTAATTCTGTAAAGAGAGAACTGTATATAAAATTATATTATAAATTAAATTAATATTATATTATACGCAGAATCATTTGAAAATCTTGTCTTGTCGAAACATATTTTGTCCATATTCCATGTTTATATACAAGTAATATAATTTTGAAATATCTCTCTTTATGGAGTGAGAACAATATATAATATACGTAATATTTTTTACAAAACCATTTACACCCTCAAGGGAATAATAAAATATATTAAACAATTTGTAATTTCACTTCTCGACTTTTATGTTATTATTATAACCGCGAGCGATAAATAAAATTTGCAAGAAATCCGCGCTTTCGAGCATTAGTCGACTTATATCACGGTAGGCCCTACGGCGAGCGTTCGCCATGCGGTAATATTTAAAGGTCAATTACGGGAAAGATAGATGCGCATATCTTCGTGTTTCATCATCCTTAACAAATCTCGAGGAATTCAATTCTCTACGGAAGGGTGAGTGCCCCCTGCTCGCTCCTAACAAATTTGAAGGGATTCGATGCGCTCAGCGCCGCACACGCCTTCTTAGATATGCAGATGCATAAGGGCATAACATCGTGAAGGTTAAAACTAGCGGTTGGCCCTTTCGCGGCTTATAGAGACGTATCGAGATCGTATCGCGATGAACGAGACCTAATGCGATGCGGCAAGAACCTCTCTTTCCGATATCCCCGAGACACATAATATCCCCGAGTGTATGCGATATCATCTACGAGAGTATGTAATACCGTGCAATCGAGAACTCGCATCGCGAGATTACGCGGATCAGACTAAATGTGCGAGAAAATATGTAATCGATGGATCGAGATTCACGGATCTTATAATTATGGAAAGATATTATCGAGTATATTCTTCGTATGTGATTTTCCACGGGCAGATCTCTAAATAAATTTTTCCATCGAGCAATCACTTATTCGAGTATCGAAAATATTGTTTTGATATTTTGCATATTCGATTTATTCAACAGAAAAATGAAACGTTATATAGACCAATAAAAATTCTCAAACATTACAGGTGTAAACTGCAACTGCTGATATTATTTTAACTAGAAATGTCGTAAAAATTACACGAAAGAAATCTAGATATATTTTTATATGATATTATTAATATTATTCATAAAATGAAAATGTATTATTTATAAACTAAATGCAATCTTTCGAATTGTTTTGCCGATTTATTATCACGCCATAGAAATATAAATAAACAAATGACAAAGAGAACAGTGCATTATTTAAGGGGATAAAAGAGAGAAGAATAGACATCAGTCATTAAATTATTTATATAGTTATTTTTCTTTCAATTTCATAAGAAACTTAGATATTAATTAACGAATTAAAAGAACATCAATATTAAGTTAGACAAATATACGAATTGCCGCAAGAATCTTTCAGCTTTGAAATTTAGCCAAGACACACCTGCATTTTACCTATAAACTTTACGTACCGATTATCGTAAGATTTGCATAGTTTTCGTGCTTGTATCCTCTTTTTATCAATCTGTATGGTAATCGATATTTTGTTATGTGGTAAATTTTAGAACTGACTTATCGATATTATTAAAGTGATTAGGATTATTTATAAATACAGTAAAATATACATGATTAATTATATCAGGAAATTTAAAAATTACACAATCGCAATTTTCATTATTAATTCTATGATGTTAGCAGTAATACTAATTACATACACACACATATATTATGTGTATATATTACTAACAAGTGTATGTAAATAGTTTTGATAACTATTATATTAAATAAGTATATATTTGGACTTTGGATTGCTTAATGTTTCTTTTATCTTAAATATGCCATGATTAGGCAGTTAACAAACTAATCGTAAACATAAAATTTGTAATTTTATAAGATATGGACAGCATGATTTTTATGTAGTTTATCCTATAATAAAAATCAAGATATTAATTTGAAAAAAAGATATCCAAAATTATTATAACATTTTTTAAAAGAAGCTAGGAATACATGAATGTAGAATTAATTAGTGAAAGAACTTTTCGTGTGTACTTACTATGTTCATTACCATGTAATTTCGGTCTGCTCTAACTAATGCGTTGCCTTTCGCATCGTGCGTGACGTACCTCTTATCTGAGATCAATCAGATGTGCGATGTAAATAGTCTATAATTACCGCCTTGGGAAGTGAATCCTTTACGGGCGACTGTGTGTAAGGCTAAATGGAAGGAGATCCATTTTCTTGTTTCAGCGAAACTAATTGATTAACCTTTTTCGGGCTTTTTAGGTAGCAAAACTTAAGATGATATTACAATTATTTATTATTTAGTACCAATAAACTGGAAAAACAACTTAAACTTATCTCTTATCTTGTAATAAATAAGAAATTTGTGCATTGAAAACTAGTTTTTTATTCTCTATAAATATATAAAAGTCAATTGAGAGAAAATGTATCTGTTTTATATTTAAAAATATACATGTTTTTTTACCTATATGTTTTTATTTATTACTATATATTTAGAATTTACATTATTAATAAAAATGTTTATTTTTCTTTTTAAATTGGAACAGACATGAAAAGTTATAAAAAAGTTATAAGTATAAAAAGGAAATTTTTAAACAGAAATCACAAAGAAAGGCGATTCATTTCTAAAAGAGTCTCGATTAATATGTATTCCGCAAGAATTTTAAGAATTAATATTTATTGCGATTAAAATTTTGTTATTTCTATGAATGTTATATTCTTTTAATTTATAAGAAACTTTTTAATATTTAATAGAAGCATATATATATTTAGAATTAATATTGTTAATAAAAATATTTAGTTTTTTCTTAAAATTGGAACAGACATGGAAAGTTATAAAAAGAGTTATAAGTATAAAAGAAAATTTTTTAAACAGAAGTCACAAAGAAAGGCAATCATTTCTAAAAGAGTCGATTAATACGTGTCCGTAAGAATTTTAAGAATTATTTATGACGATTAAAATTTTTTGATTTCTATGAATGTTATATTCTCTTAATTAAGAAACTTTTTTAATATTTAATAGAAATCATATATATATATATATATATATATATATATATATATATTATATAATAATCTCGGAAATATTATTGTTTACTCTCTAACATTATATAATAATTATACGTATTAATTTTAGAAGAATTTTAAGAATTATTTATGATGATTAAAATTTTTTGATTTCTATGAATGTATATTCTCTTAATTAAGAAACTTTTTAATATTTAATAGAATCATATATATATCATATAATAATCTCGGAAATATTATTGTTTATTATCTAACATTATATAATAATTATACGTATTAACTTTATGTGTTTTTTTTGCACAGGACCGTCTGACTGGTCATGGGGGCATCTCCTCACTGGGCGGCGGGAATTCGTCGCCCTATTCCGGTGCCCATCACCATGGACATCGGGGAAACGGAAATGGGGGCGGCATGCCCCACCACGGAGGCGCCTCTCTGCCGACCGCCTCCGACTTCCAACCCCCTTACTTTCCACCCCCGTTTCCCTCGCACCATCACGCGCCCGCTAGCCCCCAGCATCCTGGTCTTGGCCAACCGCAACACCTGGATTACCTCGTCAGCGATCCTTATACGCAAACGCTCAACACGTTGCACCAGCACCACTACAATCACCTGAGCGCTGCTGTCACCGCGGGCCAAAGGAGCGGCGATCTCAGGAGAGACGCCGAGCTTCACGTGGTAAGTGCTCTAAATATTTTTCCTGGCAGTCTCTCTCTTTCTCTAGAACTAACATAGGAAAAGATCACGGAGAATTAAACACAATTATGTTTCTATTTCATCGTGGAGAACTATGTCCGATGCATTGTAATGCAGTTTAAAAAGATCAAGGATGACAAATTTTCCAACTTTTTTATGTAAAAAGAAAAAATGACATTTAGAAGAATATGAAGCTATAAAGGGAAAATCGAACGTACAATTAATATTAAAATAATAATAAAAATATTATTATAATATATAAAATAATATATAATATATAAAATAATATATAATATATAAAATAATATATAATATATAAAATAATATATAATATATAAAATATATAATATATAAAATAATATTAAAAAATATAGAAATCTCAGAAATATATAATTGCTACATATTATATGAGAGAGAACACATTAGCTTATAAAAAATAGCATTCGTGTAAGATTAAAAGTACGATGACGATATATTTCACGGTTATATTCAAATTAAACACTCGACACGAATAACATTTAATGATACACGCTCTGCAAGGTTAAAGACAGTCGTATATAACTCTATCGTAAAATATAGTCGACCACAAAAAAATTGTACAGCCGAGTAATATACTTGATTCGCATATGAGTCTTACATTTCTTAACCCTTTGACTCCGAAACTGTTTGCTCAGCAGCCGCGCATCATATATAATCATTCTTCGAATAATGTCAATGTCATGCACTTACATTAAACATTCGAGAAGTTAAGTTTTTGTACATACTTAATATATCTTTTTTATCGCTCCGCAAGATTACGATCGCTAATTTAATCGATAATTTCGCTTTATTATCAATATCATGATTATACTCTAAGTGAATTCTGAATTTTTTTCATTCTAAAAAAAGACTTCGGAAAGCATTTCCCATCTGAAAGTCGAGAAATACACACTATCTTTCTCATGTTATTAATTAGACACTCCAAATTTTCTAATGATAATAAAAAGACAAAGAAACAGAAAAAATTCTACCATGCATTTGTGTAATTATAAATTTTTGATTAATTATAAATTATCAAATTTGATATCTTTTATAAAAATATTCATTCATATTTATTTATCATAAATATTAAAATGTATATCATGTATAATAATTATTTGAAAGCAGCTAGTACCTCATTAAACAAGATCTCAATATATCTTCGTATAATATCCGATATTGTTAATTAAAATAATAATCGTTAAGCTAAATTTAGTGGTACTTAACTTATGGACAAATGTATGTAACTATTTATATTAAATCTACAATATCGATAATTTAAAAAGAAAAGAATTACATGAAATGGAAAGTAAAATTCAATTTATTGTACACACAGATGAAAAATTTAATTCTTTTACATCATATATAAATTATATAACTTAATTTTCATTATTATTTCATATCTAAATATTCCAAAAGAATTGCATTAGAAAGATAAGAGTTTTGTTTTTGCCACATCATATTTACAAGTTCAAACATAATTTTATGTATTTATTATATTTTTTGCATAATATCAAAATCTTAATCTTCAATTTTAGGATTAATCGCGGTCTATCATTAGTCGAAAGCTCGTATCTTTCAACAAACGCGGTGCAAATCACGGCATGTAATCTTAGATGGTGCGACCCTTTCTTGCTGGCTCTCCAGCAAGGTATCCGATGCATGCGCACTCGGAAGCATATGGAAATTGTGGCAATGTCAGTCGGTATTCGTCGCGGGGAAATGAAAACTGGCAGAGATCCGGTCACGTGCGTCTCTCGGATACCTCATTAGCGAACCGTCCGCCCGGCGTGTTATTTGTAGGACGCCGCCGCGTGCAGCGTCTCGAGTTGGACGTAATAACGGGTGGTATCGATCTATTAGACGGGTCGCGGCCAATAAGTCGTCCCGTGACATCGGTGATTGCGATCATTGATCCTCTCGCGAGCGCGGCCGGCGTGGACGACCTCGTGGCTCCGTTGCTGCGCGCGACATTTGCATTTGCCACGGTACGGAATGCCCTGCTGCGTGTAATGCGCCCTACGTGGACGAGCACAACGTGTCGAGCAAACGTGTCCTCCCCGTCCTTGAGAGGTGTCTTTGATGCAAGAATCTTTCACGCTTCCCATACACTTTTACGAAGCATCATTTTTTGCATCGTGCATCATGAAACATTAATTTTGCTAACATTGTTTTTTCGTATTATTATATACAATATTTTTCATTTGTAATATGCAGGATGTATCTTAAAAAGCTCCCTAAGCAGCGTTATTCCTGATTAAAAACCGAGTCTTTGATGCAAGAATCTTTCACGCTTCCCATACACTTTTACGAAGCATCATTTTTTGCATCGTGCATCATAAAACATTAATTTTGCTAGCATTGTTTTTTTCGTATTATTATATACAATATTTTTCGTTTGTAATATACAGGGTGTGTCTTAAAAAGCTCCCTAAGCAGCGTTATTCCTGATTAAAAACTGAGTCTTTGATGCAAGAATCTTTCACGCTTCCCATACACTTTTACGAAGCATCATTTTTTGCATCGTGCATCATAAAACATTAATTTTGCTAACATTGTTTTTTCGTATTATTATATACAATATTTTTCATTTGTAATATGCAGGATGTATCTTAAAAAGCTCCCTAAGCAGCGTTATTCCTGATTAAAAACCGAGTCTTTGATGCAAGAATCTTTCACGCTTCCCACACACTTTTACGAAGCATCATTTTTTGCATCGTGCATCATAAAACATTAATTTTGCTAGCATTGTTTTTTCGTATTATTATATACAATATTTTTCATTTGTAATATACAGGATGTGTCTTAAAAAGCTCCCTAAGCAGCGTTATTCCTGATTAAAAATCGAGTCGAAAAGTCCTGAACCATTTTTTTTTCCAAGATTCATTAAATAATTAATCAGATTTAAGTATTAAAAAGATTTCTGAAAAGATGAATTGTTTAAGAATTAATGTAAAACAGTTTATTTTTTTTGCTTATCCAAATCTTCATATGTTGATAACGAGGAAGTTTGTCTTTTTATTGCCGCGACTTTACTCATTAATTACTGCTTTATTAAGCATTATGGAAAAAAATGATTCAGGACTTTTCGACTCGGTTTTTAATCAGGAATAACGCTGCTTAGGAAGCTTTTTAAGATACACCCTGTATATTTTCTAAATGTATATTTGAAATAAAAAATATATATAATATAAAAATAATTGTAATAAATAAAATAACTATAATAATAATATAAACATACTAAAAATATATATAATTTTCGCATCATACTCATATGAAAAATATTGCAAACAAACAGAATAAAATTTTTTTTCTGTAAGGGGCAAATTGTCCTTATTAGAAAAAAATAAAATTTAAATAAAGTACTAAATTTCTTATATAAAGAGATTAAATGATTCTGTACAATTTATTATAATTTAAAAATATACATATTTCTATGATTAGATACGTTTAAAACCTATATAATTCCTTCTTTCAATAGTTTGAATATAAATAATGCATATAAATAATTGAATATAGCATTATTTAATATCAGTTAAAATTCTTTTTTACTGATAAAAATTCTTTCTAAGCAATTACAGTTCGATTTAACATACAATTTGCTCGCATTATATTTAGTAATATCATCCATATGTGGATAATTGACTTCTCTCCTTCTTTCTTAAAAACCCTAATAATTATTATAAGAATAGTATTTGTAGTCCACCTTGCTCCATGTTCACGAAAACACCACCCTAATTACCACGTCAACACACGCTACTACCATTTCTATGCGGATTACATTCGGACGATTTCCAAAGGTGTCGTGTAACGCGAAGGAAACACGTTCGACGAAATTCGACACGTGTACGACGAATGCATGCGTTTTTACACAAGTTCGTTTGACACACCTCGAATTTTAGAACGGTGCAGAAGAGCACGGTGGTTTGTTGCAGAGAGCATCTGTCCATGCCATATGCAGGCTCGTATTGCCGTGTCGGCGTTTTATCGAAGACTATGATTATTTTCTGTCCGTATGATTAAGGGACGTGCATACGATACCGTGTATACTGCTACCGTAATTTGCACATCGACTGTCGAACAAGTTGTCGTACAAGAACTAACAAGAAGTGTATAAGGATGTTTAGTTTGAATTTTTTAAAATAAAAATAACAAGATTTTTCTATTTTAAAGGATTAAAAATAAGTCGTGTTTTATATAAATTAATTTTTTGTAAATTATTGTCTGAAATTTATGATTATTAAATGGTTGAAATTAAATGATAATATTAATCCAGTATTAAATTAAATTATATTTTTCAACAGACTTTTTACTTATATTGCGCTGAGGTATTTAATATTAAAAGTCACAAAGACAAAACATTGTTCTATCGAGATTGATGAAATAATAAATTATAACATAAACGGATAAATTTTAACACTTAAAAAATGAGTTCAATATTATCACTGGATTGTATAAAAATAGATCCGAAAATACTTTATTCATCCGCGATCAAAAGTATGTTATTGATTATCTCAAGCTCCTTGTTTCTAAACCGACGGGTATTCTTCTAAGAAAAATAGATATCTTTGATTTTAATAAAATTTCACAATGCTGTACTTTCGATTTTCCGCAATATTGAATAAAGTGTGAAAATACAATTTTTGGGATACTTTTTGCATTATTTTCTGTATAAGGAAATAATTAATGCAACATTGACAAGTTTTGACTCTAAAAAAATACATTAATTGTGAAGTAATATCGAGAAATTTACTTAATATATGTATATTTTAAACAGATTGAAATAAATCATGAATTCTTGATAGCCATTATTCATCTATATCATAGTTTTTGTAATGGATAAGATCAATAATTAATAATTAATGGATAAGATTAATAAGCAAATGACATAAATGAAAATTACTACTCGTAGATTACAAAAAGAAAGATTTTAAAAATCTATAATCATTAATAATGAAATAGCAATTGTGATAAAAAGAAATAATAATAATTTTAAAAAACGTGAACAAAAAATAATGACAAAAAAATTAGGTCATAAACAATACAATTATCCATATTACGCATATATATATATTATCAAGACATAGATAACTTACATGAATTTACATCTTAGAATAGAATAGAATTTCAATATTTAATCGTAAATTAATTTATTACGTGCATAATGAATCAGTTATTTAATTGCGACTGAACTAAAACCTCAAAGTATCGTCTTGAATAATTTATGATACATTAAAGCTAAATTTAAAATGAATTTAGCATTTAAAGATATTTTTTATTGATAAAATATGGCATATATCATTTTAGATTAATGGAAATGAATTTTTTTTTAATACAAAGGAGCTATAACTTTGACATAATGAAGAAATTCACGTAATAAAGAAAATATATAAATTACTTTTGATTATTTAAATACAACATATTTACACAATTATTATTTATTATCCGTTAATATTATATATGATGAAGCTTTCAGTCAAATTATTTACAAATTAATGAATAGCTTAAGAGAGTCGGAGAGAATTTTATCTCGTGCAATTATTGCAATTATAGAAAACATTAAATATATTATATCAAATATATTTTTACATTTAAATTAAATGATAATTAATTAAATGATAATTAATTAAATGATTTAATATCTTAAATATATTATTTAATCTAATCGACGATTATCTTAATATTTCGATAAGCGTCTTTCAGAGCTCGTCGAGCTCTCAAAGATTAAAGAAACGGAGTGAAGTCGTTGAAACCGATGGATTCGTGCAGATAAACGCAACACTTTTGATAGGCGAAAATAAATAGCACGCGGGATTTATCACGGGAAATCCAGCAGGTTTAATGACGGGGAATGTGACGGATCCACACGGTTACTCAAGCCCGTCATAAGACGTGACTTTCGGATCCGCTCGGAGGCAAGACACACTCCGAGGGAGGAGGGGGATTATTCATGGGACACGAAAGTCTTAAGCCCCAGCCAGTTCTCCGGAAACTACATACCCGGTGTCTTTGCATAGTTCGCCATAGTTAGGAAACTTGAGCGTTTTGGATATTAAACGCATCCCGTCCCGCGTCTGCGCGTCTCCCCGCGGGTTGCTCCAAGTGTCCCCGTCGTTAATGCTGATAACTAGATCGGCATGAGGAACCGCGCGACAATTTGGCGGGCGAAATTTCCGTCCCGTATAATAATCGTCGTCGTATCCCAGCTATAATATATCACCGCACCGTAGTTAGATCACTACTCGGCCCGACCTGCGCTGTATAATAGCGCACCATTAGGATCATTGATTAGATCTCGACATACGATTATCCGATTAATGAGCGATCCGTAATTACAGGTAAATAGCAATGTAACCACTGCGAAGCGAATCCATCGCTTCACAATTAGCGCAATTACTGGCCTTTATCTCCTTTTTTTTCTACCCGCCTGAAGCTTAGTTTTATATCTCTTTCAATAAACGTGTTAATTATGACAAAATAATTAATGTTTTGTGAATATGAATATGTTTACTCTTATTAAATAATAATATACAAGCTAATGAAAATGCAGTAATATCAATTTTAAAAATTTACAAACTTATTTATCAGCGATAATGACTTGCAATTATCACGGTTATTTCATCATATAATAAAATAGCGATAAAGCAATTAGCTTTTAGTATTAATATTGAAGTTTTAATTGATCTGTTTTATGGCTGATATTATTCTGTTATAAAAGAAATGTTTTTGCAAAATTTGACAATTTCACAAAATTCCATAATATCCGCGAAATAAACTGGCTCCCTCTTCCTTTTTCCCCTCTTGCGATCCTTCGTTTTCTCGCTGCATCCCGTTAAGTAATTTACTTATTAAATTTTAGGCTGACCTTTGGCATTCCCTCGGGGAGGATGCCATGGACGTTTGCTTTGAGGCAAATATGCTAAGCAGTGCGATGCCTAAGATGATGCTAAAGGTATCCCCAAAGGGTGAACAAACCCGCATCTTGCATTATTAGTAAATCGCGTTTTACATATAACATCATCTATATCTTACTAAAAAAAATAGCAATATTAATACATCCAATTTATAGTTAAAATTTTTTATTAAGTATGTCGTTAATTATATTATTATATAAATATTATTATATATCTCTTATTAGAGGGATATAAAAATTTTCATAAAAAATACTGATAAAATACTTGATACAATAAATATATCAAATTGTTTAATGCTTTCCCTCTCTCTGTCCCTCCTCGACGCTTATCATATTCTGAAAGAACAAGCGTGCTCCTAAAAGAGATCACAATGCCAATAATCAACCAAGAATCGACCGATTCCAATAGCTTTATCCTTGAAAACGTGAAGGCGATGCTCCATCGTATACTCCCCTTGCATTTCATTGTGCGTGACGGCACCTCGGCCCCTTAGCATCCTTATGCTCGAGAGAGTAGCATTTGTGACAGAGCCTTTCGACTAAAAGGGGTTTGGATCGAGAAATCGACCATTGTTGCGCCTTCGCTGCTAGAAAGAGTGGAAAGCTTGTTGTTTAATCATCTGCGCGAACACGGGGTTGGAACATATACGTTCTGAACATTAAGAATTGATGTGAATCGAGTGAATTTCATCTCCAAAACAACTGCAAGCATTGCAGATGTGCAAGATATTTTAAAATATTTATATTATAATTCTCGCTATTTAAAAATTTATAATTATAATTCTCGGATATTTAAAAATTCTCGCAGCTTTAAATTATAAGATTTTGGTTTTCTCTGCTTCTTTAACTTGATATCTAAAATCTAAGTCAAACTATATTAAGGATGTTTTGTATGTACAGCAAAACGTAGCTGAAAATCAATATTGACGAATATCCACTTTTGATGTATTTTGAGTAAGAAATTGTGTGGAATATTTATTGCGTTTTTACTGAAATATTCCGAATTTTGTTAATCGAAATAATTCACTTTTGGCAGAGAATTTCGTCTTGTGACAGATACATGGCTAACTTTATTGAATTATATTTAATATCTTTTTAACCAGTTAGTACTTGTATAATATATTATTTGATTGAAATATTTTCTCTGTATCTAAACTTTTGCAAATTTTAAACAAATTCTGAATATTATTTCTATGTGTTTTTGTCATTTGAATCGACGTGGTTATACGTTTCCTATAAGAACACATGTTAATTCGGTGCAAATGAAAATCCTTATAATTTGTGAACACTTTAATGAATCGATTTAAAAATTGTACTGAAGATTCTAAACATATGTAAGGACATTCTGTACAATTTTCATTAAATTCTCAATATTTTGAAAATAGGTACAAAACATCCTTAAAGCTGATGACTTGTTGAGAAAATATATTCGTTATTTTAACGTTTCGTGTAATAACATACTTCCATATATAGTTTTACGTCTTTCCACTACTACTCAAAGCAGGCATGTATGAATATTCCCGCGATTCCAAACATTCGCGACGCGTTCCTCGGGGTACGTGTTCGCGATGTAAATAATATACTTACTTATAACTGTACATACTCGATATTGCAACGCGAAGGAATTACATAATAGGAGATAAATCGCCCCACAAGAATGCAGGCGAACATATCAGAGATGTCGATGTCTGTCTCGTGTAGGGCTCGCGAGATCAGATCATGCCATCATTCATCAGTATCGACATTACCGTGGCAGTTATACGTGATTTTATTTTAGCGGAGCGTTTAACGAGAGAAAGGCGATCACATTTCATCTCATTAAGTCGGCATGGCGCGGTTACATCAACGTATAACTATCGCGGACTCGTCAATAAGCTTCAGAAAGCAATTCCGAGTCCACGTTAATTAACCGTACTACATTGTAACTTTTTTCGTTTCCGTGAAAGTCGTAAGTTCCCGGATGAAGTCGACGATTATTACGCGACACGCAAGACCTATAATTTTCGATTTCCTAATCACAGGACTCTCGGATTCGGACAGTCATGACCTTAATGCTCTCCCGCATCTGCCAAACAATTTCCCGCTGCGGATGCAAAACAGCGTCGCTATCGATCATATCGGGCTCATTAGACATATTTGCTAATCCGCACACGCAATACGTTTCTCGTACATGAGAATGATGAATCGGTCGAACAGCCTCGATCTCACGGGAACGACAAATTTAAAATCTAAACGTACGGATATCTCTCTTCTCGAACGGTCGAAATTGACATTTGACCGGCCAGTGTTTAAAACGCCGGCGCACGATCGCGTGATATCCCGCAATTTTCGCCAAATTAATCGAACGGAATCGAGAATCACACGCATGCAACACGTTTTGAGTATCATCGCCTTCGGTCAAACGGACACGTGATTTGCTAAATTGATCTCGCAAGGAAGGAGTTTTGTAGAATTGTTGTTTAAGCTATTTGAAAAATTATTGTGAGCTAATAAAATTATTAATAGCAATTTCATTAAATTTCTTTTTTTTTTTAAAACAAAATATAAGATTTTTATGCATGCTGAAAAACTTTAAATTAGTTTAATAAAATCAATATTTATTATCGTTTATTATTATTATTATCAGAATAAAATGAGGCGGGAGATGCTGATCACATCCCTTCGATTGAGGACATTCGGTTGCATTCCAGAGTTTTTTCCCCTTTTTTACTATATATTATGTATTGCATGTTGATTTAAATCATGAGAAACAATCAAAGAAATCAGAGAAACTCGCTCGCAGTAATTTTCCTCGCGATGTGATGCTTGCATAGGAAAGATATATAATTATGACAAGGATTCTTAATATAACCATGATATGAACGGTTCATAATTTGGAAACATTGCCATTTTTTCCTTCTCTAGTCGTGATTAAAAGTATAAGCATATATCCGTTTTATTTAGTTTTCTAAAAAATATATTCCCTCGGTCCTATCCGCTTATATTTTCTCGTATCGTGCTAGATACATGCATGCATTTATTATATATGTGTCAAAATGAATTTCTACCGCAATCATACCATTAAATAAATACTAAATAAACGTTTATTATTTTCTAACAAATAATTACAAAAGTCAAAGATACTGGATGTGCTTATACTTTGATAAAGAATTTCTAAAATCTGAATGCTCTGGAATTTATAGACAATCATTTAACAGCAAACATTCAGTGATAAACATTGAAAAAATTGTTTAAAAATTGAAAAAATTGTTCATTCTATCTGATCGAATTTTTGCTTAAGATCAAGATTATTATCTTGAAGCCAAGTCGAAATAGAATTCGCGGCTTCTGGAATATCCTCATAAATCGACAAGTATCTATAAGTGATTTTAAACGACCGATATTCATCGTAGAAAAAATTACACGAGTATAATTACGATCGGTGAGATTTATTAAAGCCTAGCAGCTTGTTCGTCTTTATCGATGACATAAGAGAACTTTTATAGCAAAAAGATTCCTTACGCGCGCATTCGTGACTTCAACTCCATCTTCTCTGTCTTCTATCAAAACCCTATTATACGTTGATTGATACAAGCCGTCGCGTGAAGTAAATTGAGATTACTTGCGGGACGAAAAGCTACAAATCAGCTCTGATGAAGAATTTGCGATGAAATAGAGAAGAGGGAAATAAAATCTTTCGAATCAATGTTTATCGAATTTGTAGTGATTTATCAATTGATGGGAAAGAGAGAGAGAAAGATACCTTTGATCATTTTATCTTTCTTCAAGAATTTTGTTTAAACACGAATCTCTGCTCTCGTTATCTTTTTTAAATTAATAATATGATTTCTTCGCAAGCACTAAGATAAATAAAATCTTTAATTTATTGATATTTATTCATATTAATGACTTAAAAACTTGTCTAATATCTCTTCTGAAACTGACATTTTCTACAATATAATTTTCATAGTATTTATATATGTAATAAATTATTCTACATTGAAATAGAAAATTTACAATTAGAATTTCTAAACTCGATCGTTTAGATAAAAAATTATATGCAATCGATCAGTGCAATTATTATGTTCACTTATAAATCTGTAATCTAATATTAAAGACTATTATTTTTTTAAACTCGTCACTACATTTTTTTGCAGCAATGGCCATTATTATAATTTTTTTATAATTTTATATTCTGAAGAAACACTGAAAATGAGAGATGAGATATTCAAAAATATGAATGCTCGCAATTTGTGTCATATCGACAAAAATTAAATGATAAATGAAACATTATGCGGCTTTTTATTATCGCCGGATATTACGCAGGCATCGCATATAATTGCACGCATCACATTCAATAATAAATATGAATAAGAATGTAAATATATTCAATGGACATGTAATTTATACGCCGCGTCCGAGAACTAATTGCGGGTGATGTTTCGCTAATGACAGCGCGCGGTTATGGCTCACTGTTTTCCTCTCTCATTATCATCCTAAATACAGTACAAAATCATCACGCGGGATAGCGAAGATTCCTAACCGTCATGGATCCGTTATAGCGGTGATCGAGGTAATTTTTCTCCAGTAGACGTTCCAAGCAACCTTTTACTTCGTTACCGACCTTCGGCCTTTACCTATTTACTACCTATCGTCGCGCCGTATAGTTCTCTGCGATACTAAATTAACGCTTGCCAGATATCGAATTTGGGTCTCGTCCACGTGGATGTTCACGTTAGCTTCATCTGTCAAACTTTAGCTTCGCTCTTAATCTTCGTTATTTCCATATATTCATGATTGCTTTAGCTTTTCAGCTTTATCCTTAGCTCTAATAAGGGTTGAATATTCTGTATACATGTTTTGAGGCAAGTTTCTCCAAAAGCCGACTGTTTCTTCCTTATGTAAGACCGCTATCATTTAATTAATTCGATATAAAAAAATTAATTCCATATAAAAAAATCTCTGAAAATAAAGAAATCCAAAAAATTAGATGAATTATATATTCCCTTTCTTCATATCTTCAGTTGCAGTTAAAAAAGTAGATACTTCCTATCGTTTTTAAAATACACAGAAAAAAGGACATTCTTGTTTTGAAAATATATTTAGTTTTAATGGAAATTTTGAAATGAGATTATATTGCGTTAATTAAAAAAAATATAATTGCTTGAATAATTGCTTATTTGAATAAAGCCATTTTATATAGTTCAATCAAGAAAAATATATTCTTATGATTTGAGATTTAATTTTCTTGAATGGAAAGGAAACAATGTTAGATAGAAAATAACATTTTCAATCAAAGATTATAATTTTCAAATCAAAGATTATAATTTTCTTAAAGTAGAATTAAATAATTATATATTCTTGAGTTGACAATTACAATATTAAAATAAAACTATAATATTGTTGAAATTTAAAATTATTAAATTCTTCTAAGGAGATTATAAATTGTTGCGTATATACGAAACAATGAACGCATTAGTTTAAGTATATAAGTTTTGATTTGATATTTCTTTTTCTGTGTACACTGAGGGAAACATTTTTTTAAATCAAATAAATTTGTTTTCTTGAAACTTTTGCTTTAAACGGAAGGAATTGTTATTTTATTTAAGCAAAAGCATTTAATTTTAATTAAATATGCATGTTACATTAAGTACATTATTTTCATTTATATATTTTTTATATTTAAATACTATTTTCGTAAAATATATACTATAATTTATTAAATTAAATATATGATCTGTTTAAATTAAAAAATTTAAAATTTTTGGGAATAAAAAATGCATTTTAATAAATATTTTGTAAAATTAAAATATAAAAATATTTAATTAAAAATTATATTTTTTTAAGCATATATATTTTTTTAAACATATGTAAATAAATACTTGACTTAAGCAAACAGACGTTTTGAATACAAGTAAATACGTGATTAGTACCCACCACCGAATAAATAGCTTTCTTGAGTTAACTAAAATTTTTTTATTTCAATATCATTTTTTCCTCAGTGTACACATGCATTTTTCGCGATTTCAAAATGTCAAAACTGCGCTACGACTAAAGTATCACGCTGATTGGAACATTGTTTCTGATTTCAGAACATGCACGCTTCGTCGTTCCCTTATGACGGCGGACGTAGTAGCGGCGGAGCCGGTAGTGGCGGAGGTGGCGGCGGCGGTGGCGGAGGTGGTGGCGGAGGCGGCGGCGGTGGAGGAAGGGGTGTCGAGTACGGCGCCGTACGTCGTCCTGACGCCCTGCTACCGCCTCCGGGCCTCGACCAAACCGACCTCGTTCTGCACAGCAGCCTCGTTGACGACCCCCAGGTGAGCGACGATGTACGTAATCGCAACATATTTTCTCTATTATCATATTCCTCGATGTCGTCCCTCTCGACTCCGAAGAATAGTCGCGAGACTCTTGAATGCGGAAGCATTACAATTATCGGAGAACTGTTTCAAGATTGTGTACATCTAGATGCACGCAGGGATGCTTTTGATCCGGTGACAAATATGATGCTTGAGATGTCATTTTAGTTTCTGAATAAGCTTTAGAATATTAGTATAATAATAAAAAATATAGTAGATAATTCTCTCATTTTTATTTCAATTTTACATGGAATTTATTCCATCAGGATCTAAGTTTAATATTCAGAAAATAAGAAAAGAGGCAGAAAAAAAGTTATAGTGTTTAGAAGTTTAAAATTATCTTCTATATAATTAATTTCTATTATTAATCTCTCACAGAATGAATTCTTTTGAATTAATGTTTTTATAAAATGTACAGAGATTATATTAACAACTAAGTTAAAAGTTGTAGCATCCATTAAATAGAATGTCATGTGCTTGCGGGATGGAATGTTGCGAAAATATGCCTTGCTTTGCTGTGGTTAAAATGTTTTTCTTTGTCTTACGAAAATATCATGCAGTCGATTCGTTATATGTGAAAAGTATGTGTTTTATGAAAGGAGTATTATAATAAAGGAGACATCTATATTAGTGCTATATTAGCACAATATTGTAAAAGTGCTTGCATTTGTTCTTTAATTTTTCTAAAATATGCATATACATATAAAATATATTAAATATAAAAATATATTAAATATAAAATTAAATATATAAAAATTAAATATAAATATATTAAATATAAAATTAAAAATTTTATATACGTATATATTTTTTTAAATATTAAATATTAAGGCAAAGATTACTGGAAAATATCTTGCGATTGGTACGACATTAGATTATTCAATAATGAATATTGTAGTATTATGATATAAAAGATATCTAAAGGATTCGAACAAATTAAATTATAACGATAAAATAATATATTATACAAAGTTTTTTGAAAAAGTTGATGTATTATTTTATGACTACCAAAATATTTAATATAAAAATTAGAAAGTAATTAAATTTTTTATTTTTTAGAACACAAACGTGGACGATGGAGGATTCATGAACGACCTACCATTACTAAAAAGTGAGTAAAAATATTATATATAAACCTATATCTCTCTCTTATATAGATCTCGACAAAAATAAAGAAAAGTAAATACTATCATAAAATAGTATAATCAATGATCGTTATAGTCTCTTCTGTCATCTATCGATTTAAAAAAAATAAAAAAACTAATATTAATTTTTATATTAATTTTTATATATCGAACGTTCTCTTTAGTAAAGATATTAAATTCGAATTGTGACCTATAATTCATGCGTAACACAAAGTTAATTTCAATTTTCCGTTTCTCGATCGCAAGATCGTTCGATTCGGAATTTATTCCTCGAGTAAATTTACAAGAATGTAAAACGCAACGCGCGTCACCGATAATATACGCAACAACTCGAAATAGCAAACATAATCTCGATATAAAACGATCACTGCACAACCGGAAATATAAAGTAAGCGACTTGTCACCCTTAATTAGAATTTATCTCTCCGTTGTGTCAAGGGCACCAGATTTTTAGCCATTTGTGAAAATAAGTTTAAGGACGCATCGGTGCATTCTTATGCGAGCAGTCGTTCCTCTTGCAATACCGATCTGCGATAGAGATCGCAAAAAGCTGCACAAGTGGATTTTCTGTCGAAGAGCATCGCGTGAATCGCAGTACAATAAATTATTTACACACAAGTCTGGTCAAGTTTAATTCAGCTTCTCTCCTGTGAAATTTCTATGTGATAGAATTATACTTTGTGTATAAAAAAATTCTTGGAAAAAGGAAGATATTAATAATCGAGATTTAAACAAATCTAAATATTAAGACTCGTTATTAAATTTTATGGTGAAATAATTTTTTATTCTCTTATATTAAAAAAAAACGCAATTTTCTTAATTTCTTTGATCTACATTCAAGAACGAGAAGAGAAGGCAAAAATATTAAATTAATATTTAAATAAGTGGTTCGAGTTTAAGTAGAATTTTTGATAGATGATTAAGATTAGCGCGTAAAATTCTGCACGATTGCGTAATTTTGAGCGAGTTAGGTCCGGTCCGCTGAACAGGAGGATGTGTTACGAATCACGATAGAGGCAGATTATAAGGAAACTTGTACCACGTCCAATTTCGCGAGCGATACACCTCTCGTCAATCCAAGATCGAATCGCGGCCAGTGTCTCTTGCGAAAGTATCACGCTCAACTAGACCGATCGTATCCGATCGCTGATCCGAAAAGACCAGTGGAGAAGTCTCGGTTTGTCATTACATCTATAGTCGAGATATGTAACTTTCGATTTGTGAATTAATTACGAAATCATACCGCGTTACCGCTACCCAAATATGGTAGGAGTAATTTTCGTTATTTTAGCTGACAGAGGATATCAAACTTACGCACTTTCTCTCGATTGCGTGCTTTATGGCGTGATTTGATTTAATTTTGAATATTAAAGCTTCAATTTTTCAATAATTAAATTTAATCGTCATCAATCGTTACAGAAAGCATCAGCTGTGGAGTCCTATTTCAACAAAGAAGAATAATTGCTTTACATTGATCAATGTAAGGAAAATTTATAAGAAAATTTAGCGCGATCATTGCATTAATATCAAATTTAGCAGAGAGAGAATCTGATTATACATCGATATAGCGATTTAGTAGCGACGTCATTTGGGAAACGTGGATTTTCGGAGGTCTCGCACGGCCCACAAACGTATTATGGGGACCCTCGTGTTTCACGATGTAATTCTTTTCGCCTCTTCGGATCGTCGCACAATGGCCGAGAGCCTGCCAGGTCGCATGGAATCGCAGAGAGGACGTAACGTAACATGCGTAGAGGAGGTGTGAAGGAAAAAGAGAAAAAAAAAATACAGTGCGTGCCCGCGGGCGGATCGGATTTCGCTCATTGTCATTGTAATTTCTTGGCGGGGAGTAGTTTTCGGGGCGTTTCTCACCGCAGGGGTATTACCCTACAGATGGCTGTTTGTTCGAATGTCACCGAGGGTTATTATATGCCTCGTTACTCGTCCTGTCGACAGCTTATTTGGCCTTAGTTTTCTATTCTCTCGCTTCTTTCTCCTCTCGCTCTCTCGGCTTCGCGCCTTCCTCTTTGTCTCCCCGTCTCGTGCTCTTTTTTATTTTACGAAACTGGCATGAAATATGCGCAACATCACTTTCAATACGCGTACGATATTATTTAGACATTTCTGCTCATTAAATACCTCGTTCGAGTGACATTTTGATTTAATCCCGATTTATGCAAGTGGAGAGAAATGAGAAATTATAGTTTATGATGTTGGTCCTTGCGTTGATTCTCTCGATTGAGATATCTTCGAGAGTTGGATTTGTCTAAAAAAAATGATCCGTGCGATAATTTTTTTAATAGACGAAAAGAGATATAAAACTCACTACACTTGCTTCTGTCACATATCGGTGACAGTAACTATGGCGATATATATCGTATAGCTAAACGCGTTCTGCTTCTCGGAAGCCGGTTATACAATTATCGCGGCTTACCTTGGCTCTGTCACTCGACGACGATCGCGATCCAGTTTAAGTTTACGATGTATCGAGGACGAACGGATTCTTTCTACTAGCGAGATACGCACTACGAAATTTTGATTGCTGACTACTTTTAAATTAGCAGTCAAAAGATCTTTAATCGCCCGCGCGAAGCAAAATTGACAAATCTTGATAAAAGAAACTGTACATTCTTTTTCCATCTTAATCAAGTAATATCTGTCAATATACGCTATATTGTAATTTTTCAGCAGTGGTATTAGAACAATTGTATTTAATATATATTTATAATATTAAATACAATAGTAAACAGTACACATTATAACATTACAACAGTATTTTATTATATATGATACATTATTATAATAATAAATATTTCAGATCTTTTTAATTATATTTTTATTTTTGATTCAATAACTTTGAATTTTCTAAAAATACGTATAGATATTTCTTCATTAATAATTCGTCATCTTTTTTTATTCTGATGTAACCAAAAGAATAAATTTTGTTAGAAATTCGCAATGATTTTTTTCGAAAAATGTAATGTTTTCTAATTATTGTATCCTAATTATTTAAAGAACTTTATGAAAAATATACTATATATAATGTGTGCATATATAATAATATTTGCAACTTGTAATATTAAACAACCTATCGAAAAAGTATAATATATAGAACAAACATGTAGAAAAATCAATTCGAAAATTGATATTCGTTTTCAAGAAAAAAATTGTACACATGGCATTTACAGCTCTAAAGAAAAAGTCAAGACTAATAATTTTAAGCCGTTTTAAAGAAACATTTATATTTCAATTATTTGTATTTTAAATGTTTGCAATGTATGAATACATATTTAAACAAAGATACGAATCTGTACTTTGCTAATCTATTAAATATCTTTAAAGTAAAGTAGTAGTATCCTTAAAGTAAAACATATTTCATAGCGCAAACGTATGTACAGATTAATCTACCATTTCTCTAGCATAAAATCGTAATCATAAATATTAGAAGTAATTAATCATTCAAAGTAGGTCAATCAACGACATACTCGTGCGGTTTTAATCATTCTTTTTCAATTATATGTTCTCTCAATATCTACTTTACTCTTTCTCGAGCCGGTGAATGCATTAGTCACCGATTCTTCATTCCCATTACTAAACTCACTCATTCTATCTACGATGGAAGATTCTATGAAAGATTAACATTGATAACAATCAGATAACAGTCTTCGTTTCCTTTTTATTTACTAGAGAAATTTTTCTATTAAATATAAACTCATGAAATGGGGTTCAGTTCAAATCTCTTCAATCAACAACCGTCAGGAGAAAATGCGCTGATTGATTCCAGGCTTCGATTATCGAAAGAGGTTTTCGAGGTGTACTTCTTGTATTGTTCGCGAACGGGACCATCCTGCGCAACGAATGGAGGGCGGCCACCATCTTTGTATAAGGCAGCTAAACTCCTAAAATCAACCCCTAATGAAATTAACGATCACCACGCTCGTAGTTGCCCCGGGGGCCCAGGTGGATCCCCCGGAAGCTCTCTCCGGCAAAGAGTCCCTTTAGGGTCGAAAAGTCACACCCCAGTTACACACCAGCTAACCAATCAAGGTCGAGAAGTAAGCGAAGTCGTTGCTACGCGTCGATTGGTTAAGTTTCCGGCCCGGTTGATTGCCCAGGAAATTGTGCGTGTCCAGGACGCACGTGTAAGCCCCGGCTTCGCGCTCAAGGCTATTCGCAGATGGAGATATTTTGTATAGTGGCAGTCACGTATAGCGTGGCAGTAATTGTTTCGTATGTTGACGCGCGTGCCGTCTTCGAGCTTTGTTCAATAAAGTTCTTCGAACTTTCGCTTTATCGTGCGAAACGTTAAACGATGCGAGAAAATGTGTGTGTCGAGTAATCAGAAGAATTCCCCTAAAAACAGATTTAATTTTTGCTGCAACATAAATTTCGTACGCGCATTATGTATTATAAAAAAATACAATATAAGTACGTGACCTGTAATTTTGTAATTTTTCAAATATATCTTGTCAATTAATAGTTTCCGGATTAAAAAATTAATTACAGAAATATAGATTGCAAAAAATTGTCTAAAAAAATAAGATATATTTGTTAATTGCTTTTCTGATTTTAAATTTTTATCACATCGCTTAAAATTTTTATTCGTTAATCATTTTACTAATTAATTTTTCTAAGAAAATATTGAATATAAGAATTATGAAATAATTAATTGAGAATTAGGAAATTATTCATTTTTATGAGATTTTATATGCTATCAGCCATCTCTTTCTCTCTGTCTGATTCCTAATGTTATTATAGTTGAATTGAGAAATATTTTTAAATTAATTTAGCATCCGTTATCTTTAAATATTTTCTGCAGCTTATTTAAAAAATCAAAATAGAACATTAAATCGTGCATTATTATATATTGGTTAAGAATTATTCAAGAAAATTCTTATAGAAATAATGAAAGATTGCTGGGTTAGCTTTGACGCGGATGTGATCTTCAATAAGACTAGATCTGCAA